TTGTTACAAGGAGCGGAATCTATCCTTTTGTACTTTACATGGCGTGTGGGGGGATGATTTTCATAAACAATTTCAAATTTTAGAAGAAAAAAATTTTCATTTTGTTTATTTCATTTAGCTTTTTAATGTTATTACTGCTCCAGAAACCTTAAAAGGCAGTCGGAACATTCAGGGCTTCGCCCTGATACGAACAGTCTTGCTTTACTTTGAGTTTTATTTTGATCCAACTCAAATGCCACAAATAAATCCTAAACAAGACTGCTCGTATCAGGGCAAAGCACTGAATGTTCAGACTGCCTTTTAAGGTTTATGGAGCAGTAATAACATTTAAAAATTAAATGAAATAAAACAAAATGAAAATTTATTTTTTCTAAAACTTGATTATTACGAGGCCAAATTGTGCACTGGATAGGAGCACAATTTTGTGTCTCTATGTTCCTGGATTCCAGAGACAAGTCTTAAAATATGTTCGAAAATATAAGTGGATTGCACAAACAAAATTTTAGTGGATTTCGCATACATATACCTGTAACGTAAATTTTGTCGGCACATTTGTTTTGTCGCGGACTCCGCAACAAGCAAATATAGCTAGTTGATCTGGATTCCGCAACTGTAAGTGGGTTCCGCAAAATGTAAGTGGAATCTGCAAATGTAAGTGGATTCCGCAAACTGTAAGTGGATTCTGAATTTTGTTCAATACTGAACTTACATATGAGCAATTAAAAGCTGAGCTGGAACTCTTATCTCTAGCAAGGAGGAATTCGAAAGCAAAGACCTAACCATTGCCAGCGGAATCCACGAACAAGTCTTAAAACATTGGTTACCTAAATCGGTGGATTTCATCTTTTAGTATTTGGAAACACAACTCTGAACAATTTCAATATTTGGACTCATTGAGTTGAGAGTGTATAGAACACACAGCATATCGACAAATTAAGTCACTATTTGGGATTGCGTCAATCCCAAATACCGATTTTGGAAGCACAACGCCGAATAAATGCAGTAATTGTAGTCATTGGGTTGAGAGTGTATGAAAACACAACACACAGCATATCGCCAAATTAGGTCAGTATTTGGGATTCAATCGATCCCAAATACTGGTCAGTATTTATGATTGATGAAATCCCTAAAACTGGAATAATGTGGAATAAATATGGATTATATCCATTATTTGGAGTCATTAGGTTGAGAATGATTAGAAACCCAACGCATAGCAAATCGTCAAATTAGTTCAGTATTTGCGATTCTATCGATCCCAAATACTGGTCAGTATTTGGGATTGATGGAATCCCAAAAACTGGAATAATGTGGAATAAATATAGCATATATCCATTATTTGGAGTCATTAGGTTGAGAGTGATTAGAAACCCAACGCAAAGCAAATTGTCGAATTAGTTCAGTATTTGGGATTTCATCGATCCCAAATACTGGTCAGTAATTGGGATTTCATTAATCCTTAACACTAATCTTATCTAGTAAATTTCTATTCTAGTAAATTTTTATTCTAGTGATATCAAATCATGCACTTAAAAGATATAATTTTAAAGGCTACTACACATACAAATATATGTAAAGGGAATCCTTAAACAAAATGCGGATTCCACTTACAATTTGCGGATTCAACTTACAATTTGTGGATTCCACTTACAGTTGCGGATTCTGCAACAAATCAATTTAAAGATACAAACGTTTTATCATTTGTTTGTGGATTTCACATACTGTTCTGGATTCCGCAAATACAGTTGCGGATTCCGCAATTTCGCCTATTTTTCGAGCGATTTTGAGCGGTACAATGATTTAGGTATTTGTTTGTGGAATCCAAAATAGCATAGAAGATCAAAGAAAAACAGCAATATTGCGGATTCCGGAACAAATCTGATTTTGGCCTGTTGCGGATTCCGCATACAATGCAGAGAATGCACAGTTTGGCCTCGTAATGAAATTTTTTAAATAAAAATCATCAACCCACACGCCATATAAAGTGCAAAAGGATAGAATTTGCTCCTTGTAACAAATCAAATTGGGCAAATAAGCTTCTTTCAAACAAATTGAACTGATTTCTAAGAGGGATTAACTCTCCGCTTACGCGTTAATAGCGCAAAATATTTCGCGCATTAATTGTCCCAAATTGGCCAAAATGGCAATCTTTAAACCCCCGTAATTTTACAAAAAATGGTCACAGGTAAAATATCTTTTCAAATTTGAGCTCAAGACAACAATACCTTTCCAATGATATATAAAAATTCCGTCAAAAATAGCTAGTTAAAAAGTCGAAATTTGTCTGAAGAAAAAAAACCCACCCCGAGCACAAATATTCCGTTACTTTCGTATCGAAAGTCGGAACAATAAAGAAAAAAAAACAAAACGCGTGATAAATGAAAACTTCTGTTTTTTTGCCAGTTTTCCATTAGGTTGTTTTTGCATCATGTCAAAAACAATTTCTTCAAATTAATGCCTTGACATCAAATTGAAAAAGAAAATAATTATAATAACTTTGATTTACAAGTGAGGTGAAATAATCTGGCTCTAAGTTTTTCAAGGAACACAATTGATGTCGTGTATTTTGAGTAATTTTGCCAAGAAGACTCTAAAAAAGCTCGAGTTTTGATAAAATAACAACTGAAGGGTTTTGAAACCGAATAACGACTGAAGGGCTTTACCCTTTTCTTAACCCTCTTGGTTATTTTTGAGGTATTAAAATTCGGCTGAAAAACCGGAACCTTCTCGTCATAGTGCCTTCCAGTCGCTTCGTGACGTAGTCGGTTAAACAAGCCTTTAAAATGCTACATCATAAAAATGCCTCTATCATTTAAAGTCACAAACCTATTGAGGTTTTTTCCAAGTTCCCATTCCATTCTACTAATCAGATTTCTTTTTGTCTAAAACTTGCACGTTACAGGATAACAAAACAGACGAATAAAAGGGTCGAAACAACTATTTTTTGGTAGCTCAGAGGGGTTTGCGCAAGAAATCACTGCCTCATTAGAAGTATCCTTGTTGGCATCTGTTGAAAAAAACTCAAATTGATACTTCACTGAAAAAATTCACAATTATTATTTTGTTGAAAAACGCAAATTTATATTTTGCTACGAAACTCAAATTTATATTTTGACAATGTGTTCAAAAACAAACTATTATGTCTATGCAGTAAATGTAAATTTCAGAGGAGTGTTTTTAATTTGTTGCTGGACTCTCTGATTTGTCAGTCTTCTATGTCAACTCAACAAAATTTTTAAACGGTTTCACTTTTCTTCTATCCGTTAACATTTATCGGTAAACAATATGAAAGCATCTCTGTATAAAATTCATTAAGATAAACATCTGCTTCTAGAGAAAACGATTAAATAGAGAATGCGTTCCGTCTATACAAACCACTTTTGGCTTGTAGAATACTACTACCCAATTAATTTTACTTTCAGCTAATGACGTTTTTTCGTAATCAAACCATCGCCAAACATTAACAAAACTGCTCGTATCAAGGCGACGCCAAGAACTGTCCGACTGCCTTTTAAGGTCTATGGAGCAGTAATAACATAGAAAAATTAAACGTATAAAATTAAAAATAAATTTTTACAAGAATTTGAGATTTTTGACAAAATTATTACCCCACACGCCATATGAAGAACAAAGTGATAGATTTCGCTCCTACTAACAAATTAATTAGGGAAATTGAGCTTCCTTCAAACAATTTGGAGCGATTTCTAAGGCGGATTAAGTCTGCGCTTCTGCGTTAATAGCGCGAAGTTTATCGCGTTTTAATTGTCGCAAATTGGCCAAACTCGTAACATTTAAACCCCCATAATTTAACGAAAAATGATCCCAGGTGAAATTTTCTTCCAAAATAATTCTCAGGAGAAAAACACATTTTGAATGACTGTTAAAAAATTCCGTCAAAAATGGCTAGTTAAAAAGTCGAATAATGTCTGAAGAAAAAAAACCCACCCGAGCACAAATATTCCATTACTTTCGTATCGAAAGTCGGAACAATAAGGCTGTGTGAAACATCATACTAAAAGCTGTATTAGTCGTAGTTTGAGCTGCAACAAAACTTCTAAAAAAATTTTTAGCATAAAGAAAAATCGATCTATTTCATTGTTTAGCTGTTTGTTCTAACTCTGGACGACAATCATTTTCATTTAAAACAAGCTTAAGACGTGTATGAAATATAGTTGCTGACTACATGAGGTTGATGAAAAAAGAAAGTTTGTTCTGGGATATTCTTGAGGATGTTTTATGCGGCTGTTCTTTTTTCTAAGTCGAACTAATTAATTTTTGGAGCTTCATCAGGACATTATAAAGACTATTTATGCGCTGCAGGCAAACTTTTGAAAAAAACCTTGAAATGTTCATTTTTTTTATTGCTGAGCATGCTTGTCTATCAAAGTTAATGTATATTGGCGATTAAAAATGGATGTATTAAATGGGTCCCCTTGGGTGGTCAAGGGGCGCAATTCTAAATCCTCCGCTCTGAAGATTACTGGAATAATTTTCCACAGGAATATTATTCCGCTGGAATAATATTCCGCTGGAATAATTTTCCACAGAATCTGCTCAGATTATAAAAAACCTCTTCATCCAAATGTTTGATAGCATGACAATAAAAGGAGGTCGTTGAAGAAATCACTAAGGTCTTTAGATTTTATACGAGTTGAAGGATCTCTTTAGCTATTCACCCCAGTGGCAGTTTGTACAGAACGTCGTCCCCTATGAATGACTGACTCAAATATAAAGCATATGCAAAAATTGTATCGAAGTTCCCGCACTTTGCAATGGATTGAGGTGGGGCAGTTGAATTGATTGTATTAGCCTTAGACCCAAATTTTGTAAGAAACTGTAGAAACTTTATAGAAAAAGTTCTAGCTAGTTTTGGTCAAAATGGGGCCGAGTTGCCTCTTGATAATGAACGGCTTTCATGTTCAGCCTGATTGGTAGCTAACTGGCATTTTTGGCGTTCTTTCAAGATTTCCCTTTAAAACGAATTCATTTTTTTTAATTTACAGCTGCTTCTATTGGGACCCATTTGGCCATCTGCTACGAGAGACACCGGGTCATCCTGACGCCCCTGCAACCACGACTGTCAGAGAAGAGCATCTACAAGATCATAGTGGCCATTTGGACAGTGGCCATAGTTTACTCCGCGCCATACTTATTCGTATACACCACAGTCACATACCAGGGCAGTAGCACTATGGCTTGTGTGCCAGGGTAAGCAACCAATCACAATAAAATTTGAAAAATACTGGTGACGTTTTTACTGGAAAAGTACGGGTCTTAGTATAATTCTTAATCTTACATTTATCTTGTAAGAATCTTAAACAATATTCACACTTTAATCCCCCTTTTGAGATATCCATTTTTGATGACGGAACCCAAAAAATTTTCGAAAACGCCTTGGGCGCCAATATATACTAATTTTGAGGGGGAGCGCGCGTCGAAAAAAAACGCAAACTTTTGGGTCAAAATTTTCCAAAAAGAACCTAAAAAAGCCTTTTTGGCCTGTTTTTTAAAAGTTTGCCTGCGGTGCACAAAAGTGCTTTTTTGAATATCTGCCCCCCCCCCCCCTCGAGAAAATACTAGATTCGCTCCTGACTTGGTACAAGGTTTATACGAGATTATTGTTCTGATTTTCGAAGAAAGTGACGGAACATTTGAGCGCGGTGTGGTTTTTTTTCTTCAGACAAATTTCGACCTTTTAACTGGCCAATTTTGTCCCTAGACTATTTGGAAATATATTTCGCTGTGACCATTTTTCCGTAAGTTATGGGGGCTTAAACCTCGCCAATTTGGACAATTTCTGACAATTAACGAGCGATACATTTCGCGCTATCAACGCGTAAGCGGCTATTTAATCCCGTCTTAGAAATCTTTCCAAATTGGTTGCAGCAGGCTGTTTTTTTATAAAGGCTACGTTACTGGGAGCTCAATCAGACACTTTGTATTTCAATTGGCGTGTGGGGGATGACAAAAAATACCCAAATTTTTCTAAAATTTTTTCATATATATTTTTTGAAACAATCATCAATTGTTTTAGGCAAAGACTGCTTCATACACCTTAAAATGCAGTCTAAACATTCAGGGTATTGCCCTGATACGAGCAACGATGTTACTTTATCTATAAACTTCCTGCATAAAAAGTTCAGTAGTATTTGGAAACTTTGCTGAAAAAAAAACATTAGATTCATCGTTAGACATTTGAATCTGATTCTCAAATGATATTTCGATGATATGCTTTTTTGCAGGACAGTGCCCATGAAGCAATCGCTTTTCAAAAAGACAAAAATTGTTCCGATTATCGATACGAAAGTAACGGAATATTTGTGCTCGGGGTGTTTTTTTTCAGACAATTTTCAATTTTTTAACTAGCCATTTTTGACGCAATTTTTAACCATTCAAAACGTTTTGTTGTCTTGAGCTTATATTTGAAAAGATAATTTACCTGTGATCATTTTTCGTAGAGTTAAAGGGTCTAAGTTTTGCCATTTGGCGTATTTTGGACAATTACCGCGCGATATATTTTCGCGCTATTAACGCATAAGAGGAGATTTAATCCGTCGAAATTGTTCCAAATTGTTCTGAATTGGTTGAAGGAAGCTTATGTGCCATAATTGATTTGTGAATAGAAGTGAAATTTATTAGTTTGTGTTTCATATGGCTTGTGGGGAGATAATTTTCACAAAAATCTCAAGTTAAAGAAATAAATTTAAATTTTTTGGATTACTGTCAATTTTTTGTCATGTTGATACTGCTTCATTGACCTTAAAAAGTAAGCGGAACATTAAGTGCTTTGCCCTGATACTAGCAGTCGTGTTTGATTTTGGGTCTTTTAGGGAATGGTTGCTTTTGAAAAAAAAAATATATATATATGTATTTATTTTGTGAATGACCTTTATTGAATTTATTTTCCAGACAGTGTTTAGTTTCAATATCTTAGCGTCTATTGTTTATTTCAAACGTGAAACGGATGCTTTCCGATAAAAATTTCCCGCTGACTGCTGTGAATTAAATTAAATCTAAACAATTAGACTAGCAAGAGGAGCCTTGTCCATATTAGCCCGCTTTTCATGAAAGAAAAATCGAACAAATATTTATACCAGATTTATACGAGATCACCTGAATACAAAAAACACTATTTGTTCCAATTTTCAAAAAAAAATTGAATATTAATGCTTGGGATGGTTTTTAATCAGTCAATTTTCTGCGATTTAAATGAAAGTTTTTAACTAAAAGCTTAGATCTTCTTACTTCTTCCGCCCAAATTTCTTAAAATGCAATTTTGTAATATTCAAGGTTTAAATGCTGAAAACTGGTAGCGCTAGTTGATTTGGTTAATGCGATCATTTTTTTCTTCTGCCAACTGTAGCATAGCATACTTGCTTGGTAACACGTAGATTCCATGTATAATGCCAATTCTGAAACATGTAGATTCCATGTATAATGCCGATTTTGAAACACGTAGATTCCATGTATAATGCCAATTCTGAAAAAAAACTTGGGATAGTACTAAAATTTCATTGGCTAATTCTAACCAATCAGTTTGAAGCAAAAGAGTTTCGTTTCAAGTTGTTAAATTTTGGATTTTCGAGCGGAATAAATGAAAAGACCCAAAACCTTTTATAATCCGTTGAAGATATCAACTATCTGAAATCAAATGTACAAAGACATTTTTTGGAAAGTACTGGGAGTTTGAAAATGGCCAGTTTGAAGATTTCATACATAAGGCTGAAAGCATAACGCGGGTTATTTATGCGTGGCGAATTATACCGCTCATCAAAATCGTTCCGAATTGAATTGAATCTAGCTAATGGGTCGTATGTATATCGCACGACTATATTTTCCATATTTTGATTTTGGATTTTGTCTAAAATTTGTAGCTTTTCTATATTTTCTTTTCCCAAAAAATGTTCGATATGGTTCAGGGGAAGTTGGAAAAATCAGCGCTTTGCTGCCACTGTGCAAAACAAAAAAGCGGAACGTTTATAAGCCCTTTATGGACTCGAATCTTGATGATCGATTTGAAACTGGTGTTGTTGATCAATTTTAGATGAGTATATATATATTTTTTCAATCAAGCATTGCTCGAGTTTTAAAACAGAGGTAAAAATTGGTGACAAAGTTTCTCAGTTAACATAAAAGTATAATAAAATTAAGCCAGAGGTCTTTCATTGACAAGAATCTGATCACATGGGTTTATGACTTCAACAAATGGATTAGTTTTTCGATCCGATCAAATAGCAATTTGCCTTTTCGGTTAGTAAGCTCCAAATAACTAAAAGAAAGTTTTTTTTTCTCTAAAATTTAAAATTTTTTATGAAAATCATCCCCCCACACGCCACATAAACTACAAAAGGATAGTTTTCGCTCCTTGTAACAAATAAATTATGGCAAATAAGCTTCTTTCAACCAATTTGGAGCGATTTCTAAGACGGATTAACTCTCCGCTTCCGCGTTAATAGCGCGAAATAGATCGCGCGTTAATTGTCCCAAATTGGCCAAAATTGCAATCTTTAAACTCCCATAACTTTACGAAAAATGATCACAGGTGAGATATCTTTTCAAATTTGAGCTCAGGAAAACAATACCTTTTGGATGATATAAAGAAATTCAGTCAAAAATGGCTAGTTAAGAAGTCGAAGTTTGTCTGAAGAAAAAAAAACCCACCCCGAGCACAAATATTCCGTTACTTTCGTATCGAAAGTCGGAACAATAAAAAATAACCTAGTTTTGTTAAGTTTAGTTACAGTCCAAATGTAGCTGTTCTTCTGGAAAATGTTTCCGTTCCTCTTGAAAAGAAAAATTGACGCCCTAAATCCAAATAAAAAATAGTTAAAAATTTGCCAATTTTTAAGTTTGCCAATGGAGCGAATTTGACGATAGCAACGCGCGTGTTATTAACACCCAGAAGACAGCTATTCTTCTGATTGACAAATCTAATACTAAATGCGACTTTAGCTGCCTATTTTGGGCAATAAACGGTCAATCTAGTTTTCACAAAATGTTCAAATCGTTTTATCAACTTCGAATAATGTTTGCAGAGTTTCAAATTGCAGAGAGTTTTATCAAATCTGCTTAAGGCATAAAAGGCAAATTCAAGTCAGTCGAAGTTTTACTTGCAGAAAACAAAAAAAAATCAGTTTTAAAGCATGTTGCGAATTGATATTTTTCAAATGAAAACCCGCGCTGCCGCGCCTGTTTTTTTTCTAATAACTTTTATTCAGCTTCAAAAAATTGCTTAATTCGATCTAAATATTAGTCTAGCTTTCAAATGAACCTAAGTTTTTTCACATGGGCCAGAATTGATTGAAAATAAGTCTGCTTGTAAATCAGTGCCAAGCCTTAAACCGTAAACTTCCCGGCCACACTTTAAGTCAATTAAAAAACTTGGATCTACTTAAAAATTGCCCTCCCTTTGGTACCTACTTCAGAATTGCCACCCCTATTAATAAAAGCAGTAAATTAGCGCTAGAGTTTTGTATTGAGACTTCTAATCTTGCTGCAATCTGATTGGTCGAAAATGCGTTATACTAATCTACTTAACAATTGCTCCCCTTTCTTAAAAAAAAGGGGGGGGGGTAATTGTTAAGTAGATCCAAAAAACTTTTTTTTCTGATTGGAAAATTGACATAAAGATTTATTTAAAAAAAAAACAGAATTAATTTCATATATTTTTTTTTCCAAGTTTTTATTCAATTCGTCCGTCCGCACGCTAATGAAAACTACAATAGGCTGTTTTTAGCGTTTGATGTCGTTATAGAAAGACCAAATGATTTTCTACAATTTAATTTGAAACTCATTAATGCGCGAGTGCGTTAAGAGAGCAAACAATCCCGCGTTCATTATCCCCATTAGCCAAATTAGCGGATGACTTACCTAGTAGCGATTGGTAAAATTGTGAGTTTATCGCCTCTTTGTTTAATTGGACATCTGATTTCAAATGCAACCAATTGACTCATTCAGTCGCAATTTTTTTTAACTATTCATTAAGGCAGTTGTTTTTGAAAAAATGTTTGATGTGATTAGTTTATGATAAATGATTTGAATACAGGTGAGACTTTGTGCTTATTTGCAAGTGAGGCTTTGAGCTGATATAATGAGAGGTGAGTCGTTCATTCATTTGAGGCAGGTTTAATAAATCGAAACTTAATTGAGTGGTGGATTCTTTATGCCAGAAGTACGAGAGATATAAAATAGCCGCTAGATTCCTGTAT